TTTCTCATCCAAATTTTGATGACTTCTTTCACCCAAGTGTTTCCAATAATTTATCAAAACATTTTTAACTTTTTTTTTCGATGATTAATTTATGTTCCTGGTCAAGAACAACTGAAGAATATGTTCTTTGTTTAGGACCCTTTAGAATTGACCAGTACTTTGAGTTGATTTACCTCCAGATTTACCAACCTCAATACACTGTTTAACTTTGTTTTCAATTTTTTTTGTTTTATAAGATTTTGGACATTATTTTTATCTTCTAGATATTTATTCCATAATATTTTACCTTCATTGTCATGGTAACTGCTGTTTTCTTTAACCCACTCTCTGTGTTTTTTATTTGATTTTGTTCATTCATTTATTGCACTTTTAATTTCTTGATCAAACCATGGTTTAGCACTACCGGTACTTGATCTAATTTTTTTGCCTATAACCTCACGATATGTTTCAATTGTATTATTTACTAACTGGTTCCAAATTTCATCACATGCTGATTGTTTATTTGTTTTATTAGTTTTATTAGAAATTTCTGGTAAACAATCTGATGAGCAGCACCCCTCCCCTCCTATGTATAATTCAGAAAATAACGATACCAATTACCTGCCCATTTAATGTCCATTATATAAAGAGGTTCGTTCGGACATTCTGGTTGATCATCCCAAATTATATCCACCAGGTTTTCTTGATGGGAATACATTTCTATGTACACGTCATCAGCTCGGGCTGCTTTAAATGCAGTATCATAGGTGTTATATAAACCTGGAAAATTATAACAATAAAATCATTACACCGATGGCTGGCATGGTCCGCGCTGAAATCACTACTCGTAGTAGTACAGAAACCGCCGCTCACAACAATGATACTTTGGGTCAAATGATTATTAGTAACCATACAGACGAGTTAATGTCTCTCTGTGGACCCAATATATGCTGAATTATCAGAGATTTGCTTTGTCTGGAACAATATTGATAATACGCATATTTAAATCTGGTTAGAGATGTCGATTAAATGAATTTATTTTAGTAAAAAAAACTTACTAATTGAAATAAGTGTTGGATCAAAGGCAACTAAGGTCGGTAAATCTTCAGTACCGGGGGGTAGAACATCAATGAGCCATTCCCATTGTAGTGGTGTTTCGGGCTCCCCTAATGAAAAACAAAAAATGGTGTTTTTTGCTCGTTGATTCGAGAACAGCATTATTTAGCTTCATATTTAACAATACTTCTATATTTAGTGAGAATATCATTTATTTCTATAAGTAAATGCATTTTTTAGTGTAAATAGCACAGATCCGCATTGTCAATTCACGGTATTCAATCACCATACAGAAGTTTTTAATGTCGACTCACCCTGTTTCATAAGTATCCAATTACAATCAAGTTGTTGTTCGGCTTGTAGAAAGTATCTACCATCGGTCCATACTGCAGATTGGTTCATTGTGACAATAGCAAAACCTACACAATAACGAC